CCTGCTACTATATGACCGCGTGTTGACCACATATTAAAAAAAAAACATATTTTTCTTGAATTTTTTACTTGGTTCGTGAGTGCATGGTTTAAACCAAGATTATGACCTTTTACTCCATGAGTACTTTGAGTACTGAGTATGTTGAATGGACGGACATCTAATGGTTTTAAGGACAAGGTAAGGTCAGGGGCAGATGCGTATACAAGATGTGGGGGGGGGAATCACGAAAAGTTTCTTTTGAAATGTTTTATAGAGAAAAAATGTGGATGTGGTCTAAAACTGATAACTTTGAGGATTTTTTAGAACCAAAAACAGCATTATGTATCGGTATTTTTCAGTTTTAGTTGGGAAATTTGATCTGTATGGGGCGCTTCTACCCTGCTCCCCCCCCTCCCTTAACAATAAACTTAGTCTGATCTTTAAACTTTATAAAGTATACAGTATATACATCATCAAGGCCCTCTTTTAAGATAGATTTGTGCAATAAAAAGTGTAAAAACGCAGAAAATAGCCATTTTAGCTCTTATGAGGGAGGGTCTATATTGGTATGCTAAATTAAAATTTTCCAAAAGACAACCTTGGTCGTCAACTCGTCGAAGATGATTTCTAAGTTTTTATCTGAATCTCCGTCTTAGTCCCTTGTTTACCTGCACTAATAATTGCAGCGTGAAATATGCAGTAAATCATCCATCTACAGCTCATGTTATTGTGAAGGTGGATAAAAAACTGGTAAAATAAACTGCTGTATCTGTCGCAGTGTATTTGAAGGAGGGGGGGGGGTAATTTAATAGAGTAAACCAGTGGTAAAACACCGCAAAATAGGGACTAACAGTTGCTATCATTAAATTCACAATGAAATTTTTTATTAAATGCGATGCTGGCAGTTAAAAAAAAGTTGGTGTTTTCTGTTTTCTTTTTTTAAAAAAAGGAGGTTTTCTTTTTGAAAAATNCAAATGTTTCTCTTCTTCAGCTTATTCTTTGATGTATTAGCAGAGAAGATAAAAGAGACAGCTCACAAAAATTGTTTTTTAAAATTCGATAATTAAAATTATTTTTTTAATGATTTTTTTATGTTAAAAATTTTAAATTGTAAATTATTTTCATTGTTACTCAAGAACAGCTCATGGGAACCCAGCTTTGCCTGGACACTAAGCTTTCTTTATAAAAGTTAGCGACTCAACAAATAATTTTTAAAAACATTCCAGGGGGTTTGACGCAAATCGGTGAAAGGGTAATGAATTATTATCCATTTTAGCTTTCGTTTTACATCCATAAGAGTGTTGAAAGTAAACCTATTTGATTGCATTCAAAAAAAAATTCTTTAATTAAAAGTTCTTTAGAAAATGGAATTGTGTTTGAGTTTGATTAAAAAATGTTAATTAAGATAATGAAATGCGAAGTTAGGTCTAAAATGTATTATTAAATAAATAAATAAATAAAAAGTCAACAAAAAAAGGGGGGAAACGTAAAGAATAGTTATTTTCTCTCGAATGTCGTCTTCCGTTGAAATTATTAAACAATCAATAAATATTCGAGACACAGTCGACAGATAATTCTTAATGTTTTTTTTCAAATAAAAATGCATTATTATATATCGGCACACATAGGGGGTAGGCTCTCCATGGTCTCCATGCATGGGGTAGTCTTTCCAAGGTCTCCATGGAGGGTAGGCTCTCCATGGTCTCCATGGAGGGTAGGCTCTCCATGGTCTCCATTGAGGGTAGGCTTTCCATGGTCTCCATGCATGATTGTCTCTCCATGGTCTCCATACAGGGTAGTCTCTCCATGGTCTCCATGTTTTTTTAGGGTATCGTTTTTATAGATACACCATTAACAATACTCCACATAAAAGTTGAGAACTCTGTTTAAACTAAAATATTTTTGCAAAACAGTTACAAAGGCAAAAATTAATGAAAAAAAGAGCCAAGATGACACTTAGTTTTCTTTAAATTTGTTATTTTGGTATTTTGGTATTTTAGTATTTTGGTATTTTGGTATTTTGGTATTTTGGTATTTTGGTATTTTGGTATTTTGGTATTTTGGTATTCTGGTATTTTGGTATTTTGGTATTCAAAACTTCAAAACTTCAAAACTTCAGAAACTTTTGAGAAATTGATAAAGGAATCTAAGTGAAATATTAACTAAGTGTAATTGTAATTATATTCTCTTACATAATTTCTGTTAAGTGTTAACACTTAACTAATTTTTAAATTTTAGGAAATACTAAAATGATTAATCTTTTATCTGGTTTTATAAGTATTAGTTAATTTTAAATAGATTGTCAAGTACTTGACAACCTATTTGGTTAATTTGAAAAGGCCAAAACCCCAAAATTAAAATAAAAAATCGAATAGATTCAACTAAATCAAAATTTATTGTTTCAAAATATAAATGAAAAAGTTCAAATGTAATTTGTATTATACACTTAATTTGGAGATGCAAGCCACAGGGTGTCCCAATAAACTTGATTTGGAGATGCAGGACACAGGGTGTCCCAATAAACTTGATTTGGAGATACAGGACACAGGGCGTCCCAATAAACTTGATTTGGAGATACAGGACATAGGGTGTCCCAATAAACTTGATGGGAAATAATTGTAAAGAAATTAAAGGGATTGTATACGTAACTTCAGGTGACCTTCCATTTGTGCCGTGTCCGGTTCACAAGAGTACCCTTAACTGATTATGGATGACGGACTAATTAATTTTCAAATAAGTAAAGGACATGAAAAATATGCTTTTTTTTTGCNAAGCTTTGAAACAAAGCAGAAGTAAAAATATAAAGTTGATTTCAATTCTTTTTTTATTTCAATTGAAAAAATAATTTTGGAAATATCCTAGATTTGTTAAAGAAAATCCGGGAACAAATGAAAACGTTACAGCACACATGCTATAATGTACAGCTAATTTAACTTTATATCACGATATTTACTTTACGTTTATTCTGAAATTCACGATGAAGTGAGTAATAATGATAAAGTACACAATAGTTTCATAAATATTCTATTTCAATGAATATGGAGAGAGTTTAAAATAATAATAAACCAATAGAATTATAAAAATAATTTCAACGTTATCTGTTCAGGACTGAAACGACGTGCTGTGAACTACAGGACGTAGATCCTATTATCCTTACCAGCTGAATCCTACAACACAGCTTTAAGTTTTTAATCAAGCTGAAATCCCGGAGATAATATCGGAATCAACGTTATCTCAAAAAAGAAAATGCACTCATTAATTGTAACTAACCACCCTATTAAAGGGGTGATGAACACAATTAATAAATATCCTTTTTTTCCATGAAGGATAAATAGATTCTTAAAAATTTTTTGCTATCGCAATCTTGTCGATGGAAAAAAAATTTCAACTCGACTACATATGAAGGAAAATCCATTGGAAAGTTCCCAACCTGTGTAAGGGAAGGGTAGGGACTCAGTTGAATAGCAACCTCTCCTCCAATTTTAACATGGAAATACAAGACGAAAGATGATATAATTGTGCTCATCTATGCTACGACATTTAAAAACATCAAGGTCAAAATGTCGAAACTCAAATTCAACAAAATAATAAATGTGTAGTATTTTTTCAAAATTTGTTTTAACTACAAAAGTACTCTGTTAGACAGTTGTACTTAATTGTACGAATACATAAATTTCGATGTTAATTATATTTTCAAAATTTTATAATATTTATCTTTTAAAATATATTCTACTTTATTGAGAAACAGAAAACTCTGGAATTGGAAGACGACTTTTGACTCAAGTCCAATGAACATGAGACACAGCAATAGTGGAGTTTAAACAGATCTATTTAACTTAATAAGTTCTTTGTAACAATATCAAAGTATTGCCATAATGTCGTCTTTCTTTTCCATAATTTTCTCGTTCTCACCATATTATTTAATTTTTTTTCGGTTAAGTTTTTAAACTCAATATTTTGTGATAAGAATAGAAAGTCTACTAACTACTAATAATTAGATTTGAATGAAATACATTTTTATTCTTTGTCAAATCTTTTCATTTCCAAGCAAGTTTGAAATTTTAATTTTGTATTTTTTTTACTATGAAAACTGTTTATATCGGATAGATTGAAATATCATAGGGCATCAGATTGCAAAGAATGTGGGTTTAAAAAATTATTAAAAATAGGTTTTTAAGTTCTTATTTGCAAACAAAACAGTTGTTTCAATCTTGGGTGTAAAACGAAAAGCTCACATTAATTACGCATAAAATTAACTTTTTATTTAAGATTAGATTGTTATTGGGTGCGCAGTGTAAGAAATGGTATTGTTTTTTTTGATAAAAAGAGGGAAAACAATATTTTTCCATTCAATTTATTCCTATAATTGATTATCATGGCCGGACGTATATAAACAAGGATTACTTTTATCTCTTCTATTAACCCGACCCTCCCCTTAGACCCTTCCTGCTACTATATGACCGCGTGTTGACCGCTAGTATCTCTTCTAACCTGAACTACCCCCTTTCCCCCCCGGGGTTCATGTATCTGCATGGGTTTGGGTTGAGGAGAGGGGGGGACGGGACGGAACTGTTGCCGGCTCTAGGAGCACTGTATAACACAGTATCTCTAACCAACAGAGGAACCCGCGCTGAGAACAGTTTAGTTAGACTTTAGTTAGAGTTTAGACTTTAGTTACTCAGTACTCACCATTCAGAAGCGTAGTGTAAAATATGGCTGCTAGAGCTAGGTTAGGAGGTGTACACAGATACAATACCAACAAGGGAACCCAGCCTTATATAGCTACAGCTAGTGTTAGTGTAGGTGGAGATGATTGGGCGAACCAAGTGATAAATAATGTAGTTGGAGAAGGAGGAGAGGATCATCATGATAATCTTGAACAAGAACGTGAGCTTGCAGTTGAAAAAAAGATTGGAGAGAAAAAACGGTTATTTCACACAGGACGACTTTTAGAGTTAAAAAATCTGCCAGATGGGGCAACTGAGCAGGTTTGTGAACTGTTTATATCTTGAAATTAATACATTTGATTATCTGCCTTTGATGATCAGGGAACCAGGGTTTGAATGCATCTAGTCTGAAAAGCTTGAACCGGTTAGAAATATAAATTTTAGCCTGAGCAGTGAATTGCTGGTTAGGATAGCAGATGTTCAATGTATAACCTATACCTAGGGTATACAATACACATATAACTTTATCCATAGGTAGAAGGTACTCAAATAGGTTTATATATTATTTTTTAACGGTACTCTGCTAGAAACTTCAACGGTTTCGAAGTTTTATTAATTAACACTTTAATTAAAATTTATCAAAATTTAATTTTTAAAATTATTTTCCGAGTTTAATCAAAATATTTATATAAATATATATAAGAAAATAAGTATTCAAAACATGATTTGAATACGTATTAAACAAAAAGTAAAATCTGGAAGAAAAAGTAAACCTTATCAACTGAGAAATACGTAGGGTATAAAGTAACAGAGTAAAAATTAATCCTAGCAAAGTAAATTGCAATCCTAGCAGAGTAAATAGTAATCCTAGCAGAGTAAAAAGTAATCCTAGCAGAGTAAATAGTAATCCTAGCAGAGTAAAGAGTAATCCTAGCAGAGTAAAGATTAATCCTAGCAGAGTAAATAGTAATCCTAGCAGAGTAAAGATTTATCCTAGCAGAGTAAAGAGTAATCCTAGCAGAGTAAAGAGTAATCCTAGCAGAGTAAATAGTAATCCTAGCAGAGTAAATAGTAATCCTAGCAGAGTAAATAGTAATCCTAACAGAGTAAAGATGAATCCTAGCAGAGTAAAGAGTTATCCTAGCAGAGTAAAGAGTAATCCTAGCAAAGTAAAGATAAATCCTAGCAGAGTAAAAAGTAATCCTAGCAGAGTAAAGATTAATCCTAGCAGAGTAAAGAGTTATTCTAGCAGAGTAAATAGTTATCCTAGCAGAGTAAAGATAAATCCTAGCAGAGTAAAGAGTTATCCTAGCAGAGTAAAGAGTAATCCTAGCAGAGTAAAGAGTAATCATAGTAGAGTAAAGATTAATCCTAGCAGAATAAAGATAAATCCTAGCAGAGTAAAGATTAATCCTAGCACAGTAAAGATAATTCCTAGCAGAGTAAAGATTAATCCTAGCAGAGTAAAGATTAATCCTAGCAGAGTAACGATAAATCCTAGCAGAGTAAAGATTAATCCTAGCAGAGTAAAGATAAATCCTAGCAGAGTAAAGATTAATCCTGGTAAAGTAAAAAAAGTCATTTAATCATAAAAAAACGTAATAAACGAACCAGATAAAATAAAAAATATAAAACTATTAAAAAATGCAAGAGTTGAAATAAAAAGTAAATAAAAGAAACTAATTATTTATGAAAAATAAGCTTTTTACAAAATGCGAAAGCTTTTCAATTACATAGAATGTTCACAATTTTAACATACTCATTAAACGGAATACGATTATATGAAACTTAACTAATTCATTTATACCTTCAACTTGGGCGTCTATTTTTTTCTAGGGAAACGCTAGAATTTTTTTAAAGAACATTTTGAGCGGTAAAAAAGACTTTGTTGTTTTCCTAATTCGAAAAAAAATCGGGTTTTATGTGTTCTTTGAAAAGTTGAACAGTTCCTTTAAAAAAACTGAACCTAATGAGTAAATTTTGTAATGAAAAGTAAAGTGAGCACTGAGCAGACTAAAAAGTAAACCTGATAAAACCTTAATTATATTTGTTTAAAGGGCAGTTTTATACAAGTTTTCGTAAAATCAAACAAACCAAGAATATTAATACTAAATGAATAATATAGCATAGGAGCATGGCCAGGGGGGGGGGGGGGGGGTACTGAGGGGAATATTATACAGAAAGTTAATCATAATCATGATATAATTAAACATATCATGATCACAATAAAGGACAAAGAGAAGAGTAGAACCTTAAAAGTATAGATAGATAGATAGTTTAGGTTAAGTATTGGAGAAGGTTGTCATGAAGAAATATTGTGATCAATAAATCTGTTGGAAATTATAACAATAAGGTTTAAATCAAGGGATTGGTTAGGAAGGATTATTAGGACGGAACTAAGGGATGGATTGGAAAGCAAAAGGTTGGGATCAAGGGAAGGCCGGATAAGCTTGGGTTTCGGAGATGGGTTGGAAAAAATATGGTTCGAATCAAGGAATGGGTTGAGAAGGAGAAGGTTGGTATCAAGGGATTGATTAGGAAGGATAAAGTTGTAATCCAAGAATGTGTTGGTCAGGAAAATGTTGTAATCCAAGGCTGTGTTGGTCAGGAAAGGGTTAAGATTAAGAGATATGTTGGGAAAGAAAAGGTTTGGATCAAGGGATTGGTTTAGAAGGATAAAGTTAAGATCAAGGGGATGGTTTGGTAAGGGAAACAATAAGAAGTCAGCTGGAGGGTTTATTATCCTCAATATCGCAAATCTGGCAACTATTCTTGTTTTCAATTATCAGGAAAACACTCTGTGTATCCCAGGTTAGTTGATAATGCATTGGGCTCTAACTATGGAAAGAATAGGAGTGGTTTGTTGTACACCAAGAGAATAAAGTATTTAAGGTTACGCAAACACCTCCTACGCAATAACTACCCCCCCTCCCTCCTACGCAGTGCCTCCCCCTGAATTTTTAGACGTTTTATTTAGATTAGTCTCAGTTTTGCATAGTACATAGTACATTGTACACAGTACACAGTACACAGTACACAGTACACAGTACACAGTACACAGTACACAGTACACAGTACACAGTACACACCTATAAAGTTAAAATGTCAAGAAATGCATTCGAAATTTATTTACAAAGCCTTCGAGTTTAAATATTTTTACATTTTAAAAAATTGGGCATTTCAAAATATACTTTTTATTTTCAAATTCACATGTGCCTATAAAATTAAAAACTAGGGGAGCTACGATGTCACAAAGTTGTTTCAGTAATTCCGCATATTGACCTCCTCCTTCGGTCTAGTGCAGTGTGACTTTTAACTGTTCTTTTAACGATTACAATGTCTCATGTTAAAGATTGCAGGATGAAATTAAACCTGAAACTTCTGTGTGTTCTATTGCATATATATACACGTACATATACATATGTGTTCTTGTGTTCTATTGCATATATATATACACGTACATATACATAGGTGTTCTTGTGTTCTATTGCATATATATATATACACGTACATATACATATGTGTTCTTGAGTTCTATTGCAAATATATATATATACACGTGCATATACATACGTGTTCTTGTGTTCTATTGCATATATATATACACGTACATATACATATGTGTTCTTGTGTTCTTTTGCATATATATAAATATATACACGTACATATACATATGTGTTCTTGTGTTCTATTGCATATATATATTTACATCTACTCGTACATACACATATGTGTGCTTGTGTTCTATTGCATATGTTCTAAGGGTTTTCTGTATCACGTCGTAGTAGAGAGTTAATTGCACGTTAGATTGAAATCTTAAATGTCTTCAATTATAATTTCTTTTATTAAAGAGCTATTTAGAAATATAAAAATGCTATGAATTTCTACGTAGTCAAATAAATTTATATTTTGACAATTTTGCGTAAATTTTGAACTAGAGGGACTACAAGGTCAAAAAGTCGTACCAGTCTTAAAAACTTTACCTTCTCCTTACTGTTTGGTTTACAGTGGTGTGTTCTATAGTACAAAAACAGATTTTTTTTCTTTACTCCCAAAAATATTTTTTCCTTTTGATAATTGCTTTTTAATATTTCAAACATGATATATTTATTTAATTTTTTTTTAAATCTTCGATATTCTTCTTCAAAAAAGAATACTTTTTTTTCGGTTAAAAGAATATTCATAATTTGAACAAATAATAACTCAGAGATTAAATGAAAATGGAATAAAATTATATTAAACCTTTGTATTTCATTCATCAATTTTTTTTATTAAACTGCTTTTCTTGGATCTGATCGAATCAGTTCTAATGTTATTGATCAAATCAACCAGATAATCAGAAAGTTACGGTTTCATTACGCCTTTGATCGAGTAGAATCTGATCGAGTAGAATCTGGGAGCATAATGTTGATTCAGTGCAGTGTACACAGAAGGAGAAGGTCAAGTTCATGCGATATTACTGGTATAACTTTGTGACCTAGTAGCGGTCAAGTTCATGCGATATTACTGGTTTAACTGTGTGACCTAGTAGCGGTCAAGTTCATGCGATATTACTGGTTTAACTGTGTGACCTAGTAGCGGTCAAGTTCATGCGATATTACTGGTTTAACTGTGTGACCTAGTAGCGGTCAAGTTCATGTGATATTACTGGTTTAACTGTGTGACCTTGTAGCGGTCAAGTATGAGAAAAGTTATATATTACAAAGTAGAAACATTTTTTTCAAGGATGGAAAACATGGAAGATTTCAATCACGCAGATCTGTCGCTGTAATAAAAGTAAATTCAACCTATAGAAGTGTAAAGTCTGACCGCGTCAACCTCGTTGCACCAGCTAGTCCTGTACACAGAGCTAGATCAACTTTGTACAGGCGGTACCGTACAAACTGAGACCGGAAAGGTTGACCCGGCTCGGGAATTTAAATGTACTCCGGCTGCCCGTGCAATATAACTTTACTTTAGTTTGACGTGAATTGGGACAAGGTGTGACAAGGTTTGGATGAGGAGATGGATTAGGACGGATAAATTGATAAGAAGGAATGAATAAGGATTGGATAGAGAAATAGGAATAGAAATGGTGGGATGACAACTTGACAAGGTTGAAATGATTTGAAGAATACTGAGTTTTAATAATAATTCCTGGTTTCCGCAAAGTTTCCGGGTTCTAGTTCTTAACTCCAGGGGGGTTAAACACCTGGTAGGATTGTGTAGAATTGCGTCAAGTTTGATCAATTCTTGACTCCGGATAGTATTTACAGTAGGAGATATATAGTATTTATAATACTGCTTGAAAATCATGGAGACAATTTAATTACAATTAATCACAAAATGATATATCTTCAGTGTTCAGCAGGAAGTATAAAAACACAAACATATCAAAAACAAAAAACTCTCTTTGCCGACTTCCTACAAACACTACAGTGGCAGAAAGAAATTAAGTTTCAGCAAAGGTTCTATTTTGTGTAAAAAAGGGTTTCTATCTAAAAATATGAAGCAACTGAGCATGTTAGAATTTTACTAATTTTCGAGGGATTTTAAATCTTCAAAACTTTGATTCTGAGTGTTTAGAGTAAATACAAAAAAAAAAATTTATTTAAGAGAATTAAGAAAACAAAGTGTCGAAAAAATCTAGATTTTTTCTTTAAAGTCGTCTTCATATCAAAATGTACTTAGAAATGATAATTTTTGTCAGTCCAAGAATTTTTGTTAGCAATTCTTTCCGTAAAGCAATCGGGAAGTTTCAGGGCTAATCTTAAAGGAACAAATAACTTTTGTCACCACTACTTCATTCTTAATTCTTTCCTGCATTGAAAGGATATGTTGTCTACTATCATCAATATGAAGGGGGTTGAATAACCGAGCCTAGGACGCACCGTGAGAATATATCCGGGTCCCGTAGACAACACAGACCAGCATGATGTGAACTTTCAGTCTGCTCAGCGCAGAAACATTAAACAAACCGGAAATACGAACTTTAATACTATTTTAAACCAGTCTTTCATACGTACTGAGATACGGAGTATAAGAGATACTAGGATACTGGGATACTAGGATAGGATACAAGATATTAAATACTAGGATACTAAATATTTAAATACTAGGATACTATGATACTATGATACTATGATACATGGATACTAGGATACTAGGATATTAGGATACTATGATACTAGGATACTAGAATACTAGGATACTAGGATACTAGGATATTAGGATGCTAGGATATTAGGATACTAGGATACTAGAATACTAGGATACTAGAATACTAGGATACGAGAATACTTGGATCTTAGGATGCTAGGATACTAGGATACTTGGATACTTGGATACTTGGATACTAAGATATACAGTTTACACATTCCATCAGATTATTTAAAAGAAGAATCTTACAAAGACATTTTTGAGATGATAAATCCAATAGACAGACAATAGACAGACACTGCAAGTCAATTAGACGGGGTGGGTCTTCTTTTCAACCATATTTGTATAGAGTGTATCCTACCCTAGGTATCATTGTTTGACGGATGGATACCTTATTTGCTCCTTGTATGATAAGAACTGCGTAATTATGATATTTCCTGATATGCGAAACCTGAAAAACCGGTTTTATCAAGATTAAACAGGTTCCAAGCTCCTCTATCCCTCCTCGCAAAATTGGATGCTTAGAGCTTGAAACTTTTGAATTTAGGATAATGATTAATATGCAGATTGATGTAATCTTTATTAATTATTTGTTATCAAGGAAAGTGTCAAAAATTCAACCAATCAGAGTACGAGTGTCGAATGTCGTCTGCAGAAACCAAATTTTTCAAATAGAAGCCGGGAAATTTTGTGCGCAATCATTCAGAGATCTCATACGTTGGAACCCAGCAAAGGATTAAAGCAAAGTATTTAAAGTGTCAACAGTGGATATCGAGATTAAGCAAACGGCCAATTAAGGATATCCAACACAAGGATTTATAGCTCAGACCATAACTCCAATTTATAGCTCAGACCATAAACTCCAATTTATAGCTCAGACCATAAACTCCAATTTATAGCTCAGACCATAAACTCCAATTTATAGCTCAGACCATAACTCCAATTTATAGCTCAGACCATAACTCCAATTTATAGCTCAGACCATAACTCCAATTTATAGCTCAGACCATAATTCCAATTTCTTCTCTAAACCATAGTCTTTCAAAACTCGAGAGAAGATATTTTTATTTCTTCCCTCTCGACTCTCTAGGTTTAAGTTAAAGTACTCCTGGTTTACTATGCATGTTGAGCATAATCAAGGTTACAATACAAGAATACAAATCCTCTAAAACGGGGATAGATTAGTTGGGGAATTTGACGTGAAAGGGGGAATCAAGAGGGAATACTTGTTTGGGGGAAAAGATGAATAAGTTGAAGGGGGGAATAAATATAATTATTAATGGTTAATTGAAAATAAAAAGATTGAAATTAATAATTAAATAATTAAAAATTTGTTTAGTATATTATGAACTATTTTAAAAGAAAACACGAAAGAGCAGAAAACTTGTTTAGTTAAAGAGACTGTCGACCTAATTTCAAGTTTAACAAAGCGTTATTTGCTCGATTCACACCGGTACCTTTGAGCACTACATAGACTCCTCAGACAATGATTTAAAGAGTACTGTTGTGAACTCTTTTTAGTTAAACAGTGCTTAGTATACTATTTAATTTTGATGCGGATCCGGATCCGGATCCAGGTCATTTCTTTAAGATTTACTGAATTTTTTTAGCAAAAACTAATTTTCAAATTTTTGTTATATTTTTGTCGCTTATTTTTGTCCTAAAACTTTATGAACCATTCAGAATTGAGGAAATTTTTATAATCTCTCTTTTTTCAAAAGTTCAGAATTGGGTTTTAGAAGTAAAACTTTTTTGCAGTTTTTGGTTGATATTTTACCTCTTGAATCCGGATCCGTGGATCCGCATATTTTTGCAGATCCGGATCCAGGAAGCCAAAATCTTGCTGATCCAATGGATCCGGATCCTAAGCACTGCCTTTAAATATATATTTTACTCAAGAATCAATAAATCCTCTCAACCTTCAATTGAAGATGATTCTCATGGATGGATGAGATCTGAGATGTGTGTGGGACAGATTTGTTTAGCTCTTGGTGTAGTCTTCTATATATAGGCATTGGGAGTACCACACCTAACCATCACAATTATTTTATGATATAGGGAGGCAATGAGGCACTCCAGATACAGAAATACAGACATCTTTCACAGGGTTGATTGGTTACAATGTTGCCTTTAGAATCTGCCCTTTTTAGGGTTTATGGTTTGTGGGGTTTTAACAGATTTTTGTTTTAGACATTTTGTGAAGAGTTCGGTTTTGTTTACTTTACGTTAAAGCCAAGAGAGGTCAAAATTAAGTTAGAGCGGGTTTACTCAATGAACACAGTTAGGACTAGTTTACTCAATGTGTAGAGTTAGGACTAGATTACTTATTGTATACAGTTAGGACTAGACTACTCAATGTATAGTTTCAGGACTGGTTTACTCAATGTACACAGTTAGGACTATATTACTCAATGTAAGTGTCAGGGCTGGTTTACTCAATGTATAGTTTCAGGACTGGTTTACTCAATGTACAGTATCAGGGCTGGTTTACTCAATGTATAGTATCAGGACTGGTNCAAATTTACAATAACTCTAATTATTATTAATAGTTTCAAGGCTGGTTTACTCAATGTATAGTATCAGGACTGGTTTACTCAATGTAAAGTATCAGGACTTTTTACTCAATGTATAGTATCAGGACTGTTTACTCAATGTATAGTATCATAACTGGTTTACTTAATGTGTAGTATCAGGAATGGTTTACACAATGTATATATCAGGACTGGTTTACTCAATGTACAGTATCAGGAATGGTTTACACAATGTATATATCAGGACTGGTTTACTCAATGTACAGTATCAGGACTGGTTTACTCAATGTTCAGTATCAGGACCGGTTTACTCAATGTATAGTATCAGGACTGATTTACTCAATGTACAGTATCAGGACTGGTTTACTCAATGTACAGTATCAGGACTGGTTTACTCAATGTACAGTATCAGGGCTGGTTTACTCAATGTGTAGTATCAGGACTAGTTTACTCAATGGACAGTATCAGGACTGGTTTACTCAATGTGTAGTATCAGGACTAGTTTACTCAATGTTCAGTATCAGGACTGGTTTACACAATGTATAGTATCAGGACTGGTTTACTCAATGTACAGTATCAGGACTGGTTTACTCAATGTACAGTATCAGGACTGGTTTACTCAATGTACAGTATCAGGACTGGTTTACTCAATGTTCAGTTTCAGGACTGGTTTACTCAATGTATAGTATCAGGACTGATTTGCTCATTGTATAGTTCCAGGACTGATTTGCTCACTGTATAGTTCCAGGACTGGCTTACTCTATGTATTGTTAAGTGTTACTGTTGGTATTGCTTTATTTCCGGGTTTAATTAAAAGCTCTGATTTCTAATCCACCTCCCCCTCCCTTCCACCCTTAATACTGGACGCCTACAGTTTGCCGTCTATTCAAGGATATTCTCAACCCTGAACCTTGTTTTCAGAAACATTTCTCAGTTTGGGTTCTATATGATTTTACCGTTACTCCGTCCTTGAACTGTACTCCTAAACTACCCTGAGTATTATCCCTCCGACCTAGGTTGATATTGGACAAAAAAATAAGCGCTTTTATAACTACTAATCTTACTTTTAATTATTAAATTGTTAAAAACGACTCATGCTGAAGAACGTAGAGCCCTTACTAATTCAAAAAGTTGCAACATTAAACTCGGATCGTAAAATAATTATTCTAATTCAAAAATAAGCGCTTTTATAACTACTAATCTTACTTTTATTTATTAAATTGTTAAAAACGACTCATGCTGAAGAACGTAGAGTCCTTACTAATTCATAAAGTTGCAACATTAAACTCGGATCGTAAAATAATTATTCTAATTCAAAACAAACCATTTAGATATTACAACCAATAGTCATCGATTATAAGATAGAAATGAGATTTGTAGCGTTCCAAAACCGATTATTTTTCGCGAACACTCCCTTTAAAAAGGAGCTGACCCCTCGCCTCAACTCGATGATTGTTTAGGTTGTCAAAAAAATTTCATCTCTTGCTAAATTCAAATTTACTGGTTTTTATTCATATTTTTCTCCTTGAGATCTTGTCAGAGCTTAGCTAAACAAGGTTAGTTAGGCTAACTCATCCTTTATGATTTAATAACTCTAATTATTATTAAAATTTTTTTTGTTCAGGATATCCGGTTATCTTTCCCAGATCTGGATATTCTCCGGGTACAGATAGACAGAGACGATGTAAGACACAGACCCGGAGCTAAGCTAACCCTAAAAAACCCCGAGGTTTTGGAGAACTGGCCAAAGTCCCGCGAAACTTGTTTTGTAAAAAATAAAGAAGTATCCGTGTGTGTCGGTAGTTCGGACCAATGGTTATGTATTGCTCGTTTACCCCTGGAGTTCTCAGAGGACGAATTTACATCCCTTGTTTCTAACTACGGACGAGTAAAAGCTTCATTCCTAGTATGCTCCGAGACTACTGGAGAAAGTAAAGGATATGGTTTGGTAAAATATCAGACTAATGAAGCTGCAGCTCAGGCCAAACATTTACTTAATGGTAAAGATGTACAGTGCAGTACAGTACAAGTAGATTGGTTGAATTCTACACATATATCCTACACTCAACTTCATTCTAAATGTTTGTACGTGGACAACCTGCCGCCCAACTACAGAGACCTCGCAGGGTACAGGAAGATGTTCTCTGTCGTCAGAAACCCGCCATACTGTCAGGTACACAATCCTAATCCTGATCCTGATATTGATCTCGATTTTTCAAAAGATGATTTTTAATTAATGACTATTTCTCTTTAACAATTTCTGTTTTTAAAAGGATTTTCAGTTTCTGAATAAATTCGAAGAAATTATGAATGCTCTGTTTTTTTAAAAGAATAATTCTTCATTATTAAATAGAATTTAACAATTTTTGGATAAAAAAAAATTTGAACAAAAAAAATATTTAGATTGCGATGAGGAACGGAGTTCTCCAGGATTGGGGTTTAGTTGAGTTCTTTGATGCTGATGAGGCAGAGATAACACAAACCCAGCTCCATGGACACAATATCAACGGACACAAGATCCGTGTACAGTACTGTATACCTGGAGTAAACGCGATCAACATCTACATGAGCGTGGTGAATGCTCCTGAAACCTCTAAGAAAGGTTTGATTGACGAAGCTCCTAACTCCGCGGTGTATACTCAGCTACAGAAACTCAGTACTCAGAACCCAGCCTGTGAGTATACAACCAAACCAGTATTTTTGTATTTTTGGTGGAAAAAATCTTTCCTAAAAATGATTCTGCGGGCAAAATAAAGCAGCATCAATTTTTTAATTTTGATATTTTATAAGACCTAGATCATCCCTTGTATGTTTAGATTTTATATTTTCATGGAAATTTTTTTTCTTAAAAACAGTTATACGATTTTGCACACAAAAAAAAGTTGTTTCATTTTTTAATTTAGGTATTTTATTCAAACCTTGATCATACCTTGCAGTTGAGATTACATTTAAACCTTGATCATACCTTGCAGTGGAAATTTAATTCAAACCTTGATCATATGTAGCAGTTGAGATAACATTCAAATCCTGATTATACCTTGCAGAGGAGATAGCATTTAAATCTTAATCATACCTTGCAGTTGAGATTTTATTTAAACCTCGATCATACCTTGCAGTGGAGATTTCATTTAAACCTTGATCATACCTTTCAGTTGAGATTTCATTTAAATCTTGATCATACCTTGCAGTTGAGATATCATCCAAACCTTGAACATACCTTGCAGTTGAGATGACTTTCAAACCTTGATCATACCTTGCAGTGGAGATTTCATTCGAACCTTGATTATACCTTGCAGTTGACATAACATTTAAATTTTAATCATACCTTGCAGTTGAGATTTCATTTAAACCTTGATCATACCTTGCAGTTGAGATAACATTCAAACCTTGATCATATCTACCAGTTGAGATAACATTCAAACCTTGATCATACCTTGCAGTTGAGATTTCATTTAAACCTTGATCATACCTTGCAGTCAAGATACTATTCAAACCTTGATCATACCTTGCAGTTGAGATCTCATCCAAACCTTGATCATATCTTGCAGTTGAGATAGTATTTAAACCTTAATCATACCTTGCAGTGGAGAATTCATTCAAACCTTGATCATATGTAGCAGTTGAGGTAACATTCAAACCTTGATGATACCTTGCAGTGGAGATTTCATTCAAACCTAGATTATACCTTGCAGTTGATATAACATTCAAACCTAGATCATACCTTGCAGTGGAGATTTCATTCAAACCTTGATCATACCTTTCAGTTAAGAAAACATCCAAACCTTGATCATACCTTGAAGCTGAGAAAACATTTAAACCTTGATCATACCTTGCAGTTGAGATAACATTTAAATCTTAATCAGACCTTGCAGTTAAGATAACATTTAAATCTTAATATGCCTTGCAGTTGAGATATCATTCAAACCTTGATCATAACTTGCAGTTGAGATAACATTCAAACCTTGATCATACCTTGCATTTGAGATTTCATCAAAATCTTTATATAATTTGCAGTTGAGATTTCATTCAAACCTTGATCATAAATTTCAGTTGAGATAACATTTAAATCTTAATCTTACCTTGCAGTTGAGATTTCATCTAAATCTTAATATGTCTTGCAGTTGAGACATCATTCAAAACTTTATATACCTTGCAGTTAGATATCATCCAAACCTTGATCAAACCTTGCATTTGAGATTTCATTTAAATCTTGTAAACTTGATCAACCGAACCATGTTTCTTAAGCGATAAAACTTACAATGTTCACAATTTCTCAAATCATGAAAATCTGTTGCGTGATATGAAATCTAATTTTATTTATGTTTTAGTTGCTCAAAATCTACAGAATATAATTCAGCAACAGATTGAAAATATTCAATCCGGAGGTTCAGGCTCCAGGGAGGAACAGGAGCAGGAGAACGCAGTCAACGCGAGCGCACAAGCCGCGCTCATGATTCTGTTAACTGCACACCAGCAGGCGCAGACCGGTGAGAACTGTATCCTGCAAAATCAGGAAGTTGTAAATGTTCTCCAAACTCTGGTCTGTGAGAAGGAAGGACTTCAGCTTGATCCTTATGCAGAGATCATGAGTATACCCAGTCTTCAGGTAGCACTCGGACAAGGGCACCCTGAGCTATCCTGGAATCTTCAACCTGAACCTAACTATATCCAGGTACAGGGAAGATCTCCGCCTCCTGTGATAGCTAACAACCTAAATCTTCTCTCAAATACCCAGACATTGAACGAGTTGCTGGGAAGTTTAAGAGAACAAGATCTAGCTCCTCCTCCTCCTCCTCCGCCTCCTCCAATCAGCAGTCCTAACATCTCCGTCCCTCCTCCCTCCCAACCTCCTCATGTATCCATCCCTCACAATGATTTCTCTTGTCCTCCTCCGTTCACTCCTGTACAGCCTCCGCTATCCCGTCCCTTACACTTCTTCACCCCTCCTCCTCCCCTTCCCAGCCCTCATCATCTGATGGGCCCTCCTCAGCCAATGTTTATCAACCCCAACATGTTCCAATTCCCCTCTCTGATGCTACCTGGAGTTCAAGTAACCGGCCCTCCCCCAGCTCCCATTTTTCTAGCAGGTCATCAGCTAATCCCTCAGGTATCTTTACCAAACGGAAACACTCTTTTCCCGGGCCTCCCCCTCCTCCCTGGATGCTATCTCCCTGTCTCCGAACCCTCCAGTCCTGTTCCCTCCAATATTTCCTCTGGGTTTCCTCACACACCCTCCCCTAACAGTCTAAAGCGTAAAGCCTCTATCCCTCCGAGCCCGGAGGAGAGTCCGGAGGGACGATATATCGGTCAGCACTCTCAAGGACTAGGAGGACATTATGCTGACTCCTACTGGGCAAAGAAGAGAATAAAGCATCACTAAAAACACCAAAGAAATCTCCCAAGACAATCCTGCTCATCTTGTATTATATCAACCCAAAGAAGACTAAAACTCATCACATCTGACATTGTTTGATCTAACAAGTGTTAATAACGGCTGTTGTGAACATTACTTGCTTATTTAATTGAAACTATGTGGCATTTCAGACCAAACCAAGATATCATTGCAATTTGTAAACATTGATGGTACTTTTTATTCTCTAAAGTCTAAACCAAGAATATTTTTATCGTTCAATGGAAATCTTATAATTCCTTTTTTCTACATTTTGTTCTGTAGAGAGGGTTCATAATTGTATTGGCATTATTTCGCTATTTCTTCTCAATCCATCCCAATAAGGCTGTGAAAACAAAACAAAAACATAAATTTGAAAAATTATAAAATAATAAATTCTATTCTTTTTTTCCCATTTTTTTTATCGGTTTTGTATACTTGGGCACTTTCTTTGATTCCTATTTGTCCTTCCCTTTATCTTTCACAGTTGCTTTATTTATTTAATATTTTTAGAGGAAAATACAACCATGAAGAAATTCTTCCTTGTTTGTTTTTCTCTAAACGTACTGCTAGTTGTTTACTTTTTACAACAGCCTGCAGCATTACTATTTTAATGAAATGATAATTGCTTGAATGAGAAATATTTTGCGAAATTCAAACTTTTTTTACATTTTTTACAGTAAAGATATTTCTCATAGTTTTGTAATTTAATGATAATGCTTTAAATGTTATTGTGTTGTATTGTATTATTGTATTATTGTATTATTTAAAAATAAGTATTCTTGCATGAAATTGGCTTTTCTTCCTTAGGGCTCTCAATTGTTAGTTTAATTAAGATAAAATTTTCTTATTTTGGTTCCAACCCAAAGATTTTAGTATTATATGTCTTAAGCGTCCTTTCTTCGATTTTTATGTTTTCTATTCTTTTTTCAAAGAAAAACTTTATTATTTCGTTGATATTTCTTTCCGTAATTTTATTTTCTTTATTTTCTTTTCTTCGAAAACTTCTATATTCAAATATTATTTATTTGTTTTAAAATAAGTATGACCTTTTCTCTCTTTAGTCTTCTTTTCTTCTTTTCTTTTTGTTTCCTAAATTCCATTTTTTCTGGATCAATTTGGTTCCGTAAAGGCGAGAATCCCTTTCTTAAGCTGTTAAAAAAATAAACCCATAAGAATTTAAAAAATAAAAGGTATAACCAGAACCTTGCTCACAGAATAAAGAAGAAATATAACCCCTATGACGCCTGACATTATGAAAAATGTTGATGAGACGATAATTCCAGAACAATTTCGTTTCGAATAATCGTCCCGTAAACTTTTTTCATCATGTCGCGCGGCACGCCTAGCTCAATGTAGTATTTTGGAAGCAGATTTATTTTAAGAAGGGTACCGCCCTATAGTTCCAAAAGTTTTTATATTCTTAATAGATAAAGAAGAGGGTTCTTCTTGCCTTTACGGGTCCAAATTGATCCTGGAAAGAATTGGAAACCCTGATTTTTAATTCTACCCACTCTTATTTAATCTCGACCAATTTTTAGGGGTATTCTTAAATTTTTACAATTACTTCTTCTAAGTTCTTTTCATAACTTTTTCATTTTGTAGCATATTATTTCCTACATTTTTTTCTAGTTGTTGACGTACATACTGGGTTCTTTGTTGACGTACAAACTGGGTTCTTTCTTGACGTACATACTGGATTCTTTGTTGACGTACATACTAGGTTCGTTGCTGAAGTACAAACTGGGTTCTTTGTTGACGTACAAACTGGGTTCTTTGTTGGCGTACATACTGGGTTCTTTGTTGACGTACAAACTGGGTTCTTTGTTGACGTACATACTGGGTTCTTTGTTGACGTACATACTGGGTTCTTTGTTGACGTACAAACTGGGTTCTTTGTTAACGTACAAACTGGGTTCTTTGTTAACGTACAAACTGGGTTCTTTGTTAACGTACAAACTGGATTCTTTGTTGACATACAAACTGGGTTCTTTGTTGATGTACAAACTGGGTTCTTTGTTGACGTACAAACTGGGTTCTTTGTTGACGTACAAACTGGGTTCTTTGTTGACGTACAAACTGAGTTCTTTGTTGACGTACAAACTGGGTTCTTTGTTGACGTACAAACTGAGTTCTTTGTTGAAGTACAAACTGAGTTCTTTGTTGACGTACATACTGGGTTCTTTGTTGACGTACAAACTGGGTTCTTTGTTGACGTACAAACTGGGTTCTTTGTTGACGTACATACTGGGTTCTTTGTTGACATACAAACTGGTTTCTGAGGCTACGTTTTTTAAGTTTGCTTTTATTTATATAACCTGGAGCAAAATGTAAAAGAAAAAAAATCAAAACGATTTACCATTCGATTTAATTTTTTTTTCGATCTGGCATCATGTGCTGAGAGTTACATAATTCTACACTGTAAAAATGGAAAACTTGTAGAGCACACATCGAAATATACAGTGAAAACACAGGGATAGGAAGACGACTTTTAGACATAATAACTTTAAATAGTCCAATTAAAATGAAACAAAACAATTGTGCTGGATAAACAAACATATTTCACTTAATAAGTTAATAAAAAAAAACTGTTTGTTTTGTAACATCATCCAAAAACAGTATTGCGTTAATGTCGTCTTTCTATTACAAATTACAAAACAATTTAGAAACTTTCATTTCACCATTTACTAATTACTGGTGAGGAACAATTAAAACGATGCTTTATCAAGTATAGAATTGCATATTCAGGGAACAGTACTGAAAGTAATGCAGGCCTATAAAATATGCAAAACGCTCAAAACATTTGCTCACAAACCTTAAGGCTGGTTTTTCCTTAAACTTGGTAGAATAAGTAGGAGTAGAAGAAGTACAGGGTGTCCCACGAAACATGACNAGGAGGAGGATCGAGTAGAAGAAGTATAGGAGGAGGATCGAGTAGAAGAAGTAGGAGAAGGATCGAGTAGAAGAAGTATAGGAGGAGGATCAAGTAGAAGATGTAGGAGGAGTATCTAGTAGAAGAAATAGAAGAAGGATCGAGTAGAAGAAGTATAGGAGGAGGATCGAGTATAAGAAGTAGGTGGAGGATCGAGTAGAAGAAGTATAGGAGGAGGATCGAGTAGAAGAAGTAGGTGGAGGATCGAGTAGAAGAAGTAGGAGGAGGATCGAGTGGAAGAAGTATAGGAGGAGGATCGAGTAGAAGAAGTATAGGAGGAGGATCGCGTAGAAGAAGTAGAAGGATCGAGTAGAAGAAGTATAGGAGGAGGATCTAGTAGAAGAAGTATAGGTGGAGGATCGAGTAGAAGAAGTAGGAGGAGGATCGAGTGGAAGAAGTATAGGAGGAGGATCGAGTAGAAGAAGTAAGAGGAGGATCGAGTAGAAGAAGTAAGAGGAGGATCGAGGAGAAGAAGTATAGGAGAAGTATCGAGTAGAAGAAGTAGAAGAAGTATAGGAGGAGGATCGAGTGAAAGAAGTATAGGAGATGGATCGAGTAGAAGAAGTATAGGAGGAGGATCGAGTAGAAGAAGTAGGAGGAGGATCGAGTGGAAGAAGTAGGAGGAGGATCTAGTAGAAGGCATGATTTCCACGATAAGTAAACTTTACACCGAAAAAAAGGTTTCGGAAGACGACTTTTGTAAAATAGTTTACTGGAAGACAATCCTATAAAAACTGAGACAGCTTCTCTTTCTTGAATTTCAAGTGTGCCTAACTTCAAGGATTTTAAAACTGTATTCTGTTAAAGTTTTATCAAACTGTGCAATATTTATATTACTTTTACAGAGAAACAACTGAAAACAATTTTTTTCTTTATTTTTTAGCTAGAAAACCAGAATATTTTATTCCTCCAATGGATCAGACAGAAGATTGTGAATTGGACATGCCACTCTGTTAATTAGGGGTTACTTAAAGTTATGTCGTTAGTCCTCAAAAATAAAACAGTTGGATAGTTAGTGTTGGTAATTTGCGTAAAAAATAAGGTAAAGTTACAGCGTTTATGCCTCAGAAAATATAATATATTCTGAGGTTTATACGCTTAATATCCCCTCTACTGAACTTCTGACCTACTGCAATATCGGACCTACGACGGCTTTTTTATTTTCTATTTTTTAGGGTTAGGTAAGGTTAAGACTGGGCCGAGCGCTGCGGCTATGACTGGCTAGTGAGCCATACCTTGGCTTTTGATTTTATACAGGGTGTCCTACGAAGCATGACAGTTGGTTCAACTTGGTGAATAGTTTAAAATGTCTTCCTTCATAATTTGTTAAGTTGTTTGATACCAAAGATGATGATAAGAAATACTAAATGGCAGTAATATTATAGTAAAATTGATTTCAAACAAATATATATTTGAGTAAAAGATTTTTTTAACGAAATAATTAGCAAAAAGTGTTAAATGATTAATGTATCATTAAAAACTATTCACCAACTGTCATGTTTCGTGGGACACCCTGTAGCTCATTTAAACTGTGTGTAGCTATAGACGACTTTACAAGTTCTAAAAGGTTATTTGAATTCTTAATTATTCAGTTTTTGGCTTCTTTGATTTAATTCTTTTCCTTACTCTACATACAACTGTATAGTAAATGCCGTACTCTTAAAACTTTGTCAGAAACTGTATCAGTCCATGTAAACCCGCAAGCTATAAATGTCAAACAGGACACAAACTCTTCAGCGATCAATGTCAAACCAAGGGACACAATCTTATCGGCTCTGAATGTCTATACGGACACAAGCATAGCTATACCAAAAAAGCTCTTAGTCAATCAATGCCAACATATACTGGGCACATCTAATCGGCTCTGAATGTCACACAGGGACACAAGCGTAGCTATCAAACAAGCTCTTAATCGATCGATGCCAAATCTCAAGGCATAATCTCATCTCGTATGTTTAAACAAGGACCAAATTACTTCTAATATCGTAATCAAAGCAGAGTCTCAACCAGCTAATTTATTTCAGAGATCTTATGTTACAAGTTAACGTGAATCAATGAAATTACAATTATTGTGGCGATATGTCTACAGTTTTAAGTTTAATGTACATATTTATAAGATTAGCGAGGATAGATATAACGTAGTTAAGCTATCCCTACACAAATTTACAGTCTAGTTTAAGTTGAATATTTAGAAGATTAACATGGATAGATATAAAAGTAGTTAATCTAATCACAAGGCATGTTTTAATCATGTTACGTAGCTCATGTATATGTGTGGGGGTTGCTGTATTTATTACACAACTACGTAATTAAATGGGAGGGGGGAGAATTTTTAAAAAGAAAAGCACTTTAAATTTAAGATTTTTGCAACCATAAATTAAAAATTTTTAGTAACGGAATTAGAAAGTAAAAAATTGTGTTCTTTGTAAGTATCTTCTATATTTGTTTAAGTTTTTTTTGCAGAAAAATTTTTATCTTTAATATTGCTTGTAGATCTTCATGTGAATTCAATAATATTTTAACCCTATCCCGATTGGGCTGTTTTTGACTAACATAAAGAGGGGGGGGGGGGGTTTCCAACCCCCCCCTATGATTTTGCCCTTAGAGTTGAGATAGGGTACTCTGATACATGTCCCTGTCCAACTTTTCAAGGCCTGCTCATTAAAAAAATTAGATCTCTATGATTAATGGTTAGGGTTTAAGGGCTTTTCAAATTTTTAAATTTTAGTCCTGTAGCTTAATTAATAAAAAAGTTATTAACCATTTCTGATTTTTTTTAAACACCGACCCGACGTTAGACTGTCCTCCACCTAACCCAATGCATCAAAAAAAATCTGTTCAAAACTTGAAAAAGTGAAGAAATTTTAGCGTTCTATTGTGAACCGTTTTAAATCATTTAGAAAAAAATCGTGATATACAAGAATTTAAATTATTTTACTCTACACGAAATTTGAGTTATAAACAATTACAATTTTAAGTTTATTTTCAGATATTTTTCCTTCATTATTTTAAGAAAATAAATGAAGAAACAATATAATAATGTGATAAAGCTCTAAAACGGAATTTTCCCAATTCTATTGATCCTCTGGGAGAGAAGTTTGAGAGCAGAGCAGTTCTGGAAAATTCCAGTCCTCCGGTTCTCCGGGTTCTATTTACGTCAGTACAAGCCCAACCTTGCACCATGGTTCAAGATACTTTCTCCAGGTTAACCGGAAAACTGAAGACTGTTATTTCTTCACCGTTCTCCAGTTGTTTAAAAAAGAAACCCGAAACCGTTATCGGACCCAAAAAGGATTTTCATAAACAATATTCAATCCGAGGAATCATAGGAAAAGGAGGGTTTGGAACTGTTTACTCTGGAGTTAGAAGAAAGGATAAACTTAAAGTCGCAATCAAAGAGCTGTCCAAAGCTAAGGTTTGCAGGATGAGTAAGGACGGGATGGTTCCTCTGGAGATAGCTCTGATGCAGCAGGTCTCCGATGTACCCGGAGTAATCCGTCTTATAGATTATTTTGACATGAGCCAAAGCTACTATATTGTGATGGAGAGGTTTAACAGTAAGGATCTATTTGATTTTATCAGTGAAGAAGGACCACTTGGAGAAAACCTGGCAAGACATCTATTCCGTCAGGTTCTTGATACAGTGAGTCAGTGTCATAACCTTGGTGTTCTACATAGAGATATAAAGGATGAAAATATATTAATAGATCTCCAAACTCATCAACTTAAAATTATAGACTTTGGATCTGGGACCTATCTCCATGATGCGGTTTATACAGACTTTGAGGGAACCCGTGTCTACAGTCCTCCGGAGTGGATCAAATATAGAAGATATAAAGCGGACGGATTAACCGTCTGGTCTCTAGGTATCCTACTCTATGATATGCTCTGTGGTGATGTACCCTATGAGACGGATGAGCAGATACGAACCGGGGATATAGTTTGGAAAGACGATGTTAAAATCTCTCCCCTCGCCAAAGATCTAATCGAGAGCTGTCTCCGTCCTGACCCTGATGAACGGATAACCCTCTCCAGTATCAAAAACCATACATGGATGAAGATTAGTCGTGTATCTAAGTCTAGTATAAGCCTTGTCAAAGATTCTTCCAAAAAAAGTAAACCGGTTGATGTCTAGATATACATTTTGTTGCCCGAAGATGCTTTAATATCATTTATACACATTTATAAATGTTAATTGTTAAAAATAAAATTATAATAAAAAGCAAAGAAAAATATAAATATTTCTTAATATTGTATTTACAGAGAGGTGTTGATAGATAGATAGATATTGACAGAGAGAGATTATTTTTATACTTTGTTCTAAGTATTCAAGGATTTATAGGATTTATCAAACACGGCCTCGGGATTACACAGTTTTAGACCTCCATAAGTTTCGTGACTCCCCCCCTCTCCTACCCTCAACCTTTTCTAGCTTTACCTCATACAAAGTACAGATATTAGTACTAATAAACAGTTATCTCAATTCTGCTCTATATCCCTTACTCTTTGACTCAATATACTAAAATGTCTGTTGGCTTATTTGTTGTTCGTTTGTTTCCAAAAACGTAAAACAGCGAAACGGATCGGGCCCAAATATTTTGTGGGACCTCATATCGAATATCAGGATTAAAAAATTTACCTTCGAAAAATTTGAATTTTCGTAAATTTTGTAAATCCACAAAAAACTGCGAATTTATTTAGTTGTTGCTTTATAATGTGCGAAGAAAAAATGAAACAATTAAAAGTTGAAATAGAAGATGTGCGCGAATATTTGTAAAGCTTAGTTATCTTTAAACTTTAATCCCTCCCCATGCTTGATTTTACCTCCCCTCCCTCAACCTTTTAATATACCCCTCCCCCACCTCTAACTTTCAACCCCCGAACCTCTTCCCCGATCTAACCAAAAATAAACTGGAAATATTGAGTGTTCTTGCAGAAAATAGAATTACTGGAAAATATTTCATTGTTTTCTTCCACATTTAATATTTGACTGAATATTTGACTGAATATTTGACTGAATATTTGACTGAAACTGTTTCATATTATTGTTTAAAACTACCAAGATATGGTGTCAGGCGCGCGGATACAATAATTTACAAGGGGTAATCCAACTTAGAATTTTCTCTCCGTTTTCCAGGGGTGAGCCATTGCATCACGGCTCACCCCTGTGTATTCGCCCCGGTTTGGTGTGGTGACTGACAGTGGTGGTTACCTAAATGAAAAAGCCCTCTCAAAACTTGTTCTCATGCAACTTGGAAAAATCTGAGAACTGTTTGCTGTTGTGGTTTGATGTACGAAATTAAAAGTCAATTTCTTAAAATCAGAAATAAAGTTTAACCAATATTAACGCTCAACAGCTTTTCATTAAATATATCTTTAGACTTTTTAGTTGTCTTTCGATAATATATATATAATATTTTATAAACATTGGTTTCTTATCAATCAAGTGGGGTATGCCATTATTCTCACCCCTCTGATCCATATTGGGAAAGATATCATAGTTGTTCTTGTTTAAAAAGTGTTTAATTCCAAAAATTGTCTTCTTTGTTTCTATAGCAGAAATGCCCAAGTCACATTACAGAGAAGCCACAACTGAAAAAAAAATCGATTTTCAAAATAAACTGCATTTATAATGAGATAAAACTTTTAAGGTACATAATTTATTATAATCTCAAGATTGGTTATCATAATTTACAAATTTTATTGTTGTGTTTTTAAAATTTTTTACAGGGTATCCCACGAAACACGTTTCGTAGGACACTCTGTACTATTTTATAAAAATGTTTTGAGAAGACGACTTTTGAAATCTTTATGCTGCACAGACAATGCAGGGTTCCCCACGAAGGATGAGACCAAAAAGACGACCAGAAACTTTTTAAATATAACAATTCTAAGGGTCTACACGTCTTATGCCTTGAATATTGTCATTTCCTGACTTATTCCATGATTTGTAAATAAAAGAAACAATTTAACAACTATAGAAATAATAAATTATAGAAAATAATGAATTCTGTAAAGACGTCTCTTGAAATCTCATTCTTTGCGGGTAACCCAGTATAAACAATTGTTAAGTAAAGAAATCATTCGAACACAAGTTTAGTTAAATTCTCGATATAATGATTTCTTCCGATTAGCGGAGTCGAGCAGATTTTACAAATACCACTCCGTCTGGAGTTCCTAACAGCAATCACGGAGACAGAATCCAACTCCTCTTCATCCTCGCTCACCATGATCTCAACCTCGTCGGAGATCTTGACATTCTTCACCTCCTCGAAGGGAACATTGTAATCAAAGTAGGGTTGGATCACATCCTTCTTCACCTCAATGGTGTCTGCGAAAAAATCTACTGGAACTATTTCTGGTGTTGGTTTGCTAAAGGTGAGGACGGATGATAGAGTATCTACCGTATCTGCAACAGACCCGGAGTCGGATTCGAAAAGAGCAGCTAGTCGGGCTTTCTTAGCCTCGGCGAATCTTAACATTTCAATCTCGTCTTTAGGGATGGTGCTCCACTCGTCATCTTCTGTATTAGTATCTGTATCTTCTGCTTCTTCTTCTTCTTTTCTCTTTTTCCTTTCCATTTCTTCCCTGATCTCCTGCATTGCTCTTTCCTTTGCTTCCTCACTGTGATAATCATAGTAAGGTTTAATAGCATCCTTCCTGATATCTAGAGTATTAAGAAACCAATCAATCTCAGGAATATTTCTCTCCGCTAGGGTTGGACCACTGAAGGTCACGTGACTGGATGAATCCGAAGTTGAATCCAGGAAATTTAGAAGTTCATTCTCACTCATTCGTTCTATTAAACCTTTCAGGGAATTGTCCGATGTTGTGGATCTACCATCCATGGTTGATATGGTTCCGGTCTGTGAAGAGTCATCCTTAAGTAAGGTTTCATCCACACAGTTTCTACAGACCGGATGACCCAACCCACATTGCCAGATCCGTCCTGAAAGTTCGACCTGGCATGAGGAACACTTGAAAAGATATCGAACCTCGAAAACTGGACAAACTTCTGATTTGACTTCCTCCTCCTCCTCCTTATCCTCATCATCCGACACCTCTCCCCTTCTCCTTCTCCTCTCTCTCTCCCTGTTTTCCCTCCATATTCTGTTCTTCTCCCTCCTTTCCTCCTGCTCCTCTCTTATCCTCTCTAGTTCCTCCTCATCATCTTCTCCTCGTCTCATCATTGACATGGCCATCGCAGCATAACTGAAATCATCAAATAAATTACAGTCGTCGTCGCATATATCAATAAATAATGACGAATTTAGATTTCAAGATTTCATTTTTGATGGATATTAAGCTGTTAAACAGTATGGATACATATAAACATAGAAGTCAAGAGAAGCTGTCAATTAAAAAATCTTCTCTTTGATTACTTGTAAACTTGTAATTCGCAAAAAGTTGGTTAACAATCAAAACTTAAATAAAAAGTCGTCTTCATTACATTGATAAAATCACCTACCACTATAAAAGATTACTGGACTGGGAACTCTTGTATTGTATATGTTGAGATCAATGCTTAATCTTGATTTTTTGTTAATCTGCAGATTAATTTAATCAGGGATCTTTGATCAGGGGAGGAATAACTAAAATGTAGATATGGAAAGATCCTCAAATTTAAACTGCCCACCGCTACACAAAAGCTCCCAGCTCTGGATGGATAATTTTAAATGATTAAGTGTATTTCAATATTTTCATGAACTTATTGCTCGCCTCAAACTCTAATTTGCTAACCCGATAACGTCAACCTTTCAAATTAATTGACACGACTATTTGATCTGGCAGAGCTTATAGTTTGAAATGTTAAAGGTGATAAATCAGCTGCTTTTCAAATTTAAAAAGTGTTACAAAAAATCTGTTAAGTTTTTAATTATTCCCTAGCTTTCTGAGAGACTAAATAGTTTGGTAAAGGATGATTTATTCCTCTTAAATTATTAAAAATGTTCAATCGGTAAATATAGTTTTAGTTTTTTGTTTTGGTTTGGGCCATCAAATGTGAATTGTAAATTAACAAAACTAAGTATGAATTACTAACTTCTTGTCCGATTGGTTTTTAAAAACATGATTTGGCTGTAAAGGTGTAAAGAAATAAAACTGAGAATGTTACTTACTCTTTGTTCGATTGGTACTTACTCTTTGTTCGATTGGTACTTACTCTTTGTTCGGTTGGTGCTTACTCTTTGTTCGATTGGTACTTACCCTTTGTTCGATTGGTACTTACTCTTTGTTCGCTTGGTACTTACTCTTTGTTCGATTGGTACTTACTCTTTGTTCGATTGGTACTTACTCTCTGTTCGATTGGTACTTACTCTTTGTTCGATTGGTACTTATTCTTTGTTCGATTGGTACTTATTCTTTGTTCGATTGGTACTTACTCTTTGTTCGATTGGTACTTACTCTTTGTTCGATTGGTACTTACTCTTTGTTCGATTGGTACTTACTCTTTGTTCGATTGGTACTTATTCTGCTTTCTGATCATTCTCTTCGCTTTGGCTTTGATCCATACTTTCAGATTATGGCTGCTGTAAGATTTACTAACTTCAATCTCCATTTTGTGCTTTTTTTCTTCTTTCACTTCAATTTACAACTGCTGTAGAAGCAGTTTGTTAGGTGTACCCGGAGACTAGATGCTCTACTGCCTAAAACCCATATAGTAGATTCCAGATGTGTGTAGGATGCTAGAAACTAGTTATACATGTATGAGGGTACCTCCCTACACTGTATACACGTCCCGTACTCATTCAATTCATTCTATATTTATTCATCCATTCATTCCTGTATAATATATATCAGGGTACTTTCCTACATATGGATACACGTCCTGTACTCATTCATTCTATATTTATTCATTCATTCATTCCTGTATAATATATATATCATGGTACCTTCCTACACTGTATACACGTCCTGTACTCATTCATTCTATATTTATTCATTCATTCATTCCAGATAATATATATATAATGGTACCTTCCTACACTGTATACACGTCCTGTACTCATTCATTCTAAATTTATTCATTCATTCATTCCTGTATAATATATATATAATATATCATGGTACCTTCCTACACTGTATACACGTCCTGTTCTCATTCATTCTATATTTATTCATCCATTCATTCCGGTATAATATATATATCAGAGTACCTTCCTACACTGTATACACGTCCTGTATTCGTTAATTTTATATTCATCCTTTATTCTTTCATTAAGCAACTTTATACATTCAAACTTCCACATCTAAAGATGCATTTGCGAATTTTCTTATCATCATTAGTAAGATATTTTTTTCTTATCAGGAAAGATTGAATTTTTTTTTCATTCTTCTATTTGCATTTCGCTCCTCATATAATTTACGAATCACTTGATATTAATTACATGGAGTCAAAATAAACATTGGAATTACAGGACGACTTTCTTAATATTGTCAATAATTTGGGAATTGTAATGATCGAAATCATCGAATCATCAAATGGTCTTACCTTTTTATCCTTTCGGAAATATTAGATACTCAAACAGTTCTGATCTTATTCTATAATTTGAAATTTGAAAAAATTTCTCAATTTCACGGCACGTTCTAAAATAAAGGAAATTACATAATACTGTGTTTACATATTGATATAAAATTTAAAAAACGAACAATTTATTGATAAAATAAAATAATACAAATTCCTATGAAAACATACAGTCTCACATTCCACAGTCGTCTTTATATTCCACAGTCGTCTTTATATTCCACAGTCGTCTTCATATTCCACAGTCGTCCTTTATTTTCCACAGTCGTCTTCATATTCCCCAGTCGTCTTCATATTCCACAGTCGTCTTCATATTCCACAGTCGTCTTAATATTCCACAGTCGTCTTTATATTCCATAGTCGTCTCAATATTCCACAGTTGTCTTTATATTCCATTGTCGTCTCAATATTCCACAGGCGTCTTTATATTCCATAGTCGTCTCAATATTCCACAGTCGTCTTAATATTCCACAGTTGTTACTCCTGATTTAAATCATGACTGAGAACATTTCTTTTCCAACCCATCCCTCTTCTCTCCATCTTTTCCATCTTTTTCATCCTTTCTACTTTTCCATCCTTCTACGCATCCTTTCCATCCCTATTCCCTCTATTCTTTCCATATTTTCCATTCTTTTCTCCATCCTTTCCGTCCCTATTCCCTTATTTTTTTTTCCTTCGTTCATCCTTCCATATTTTCCATCCCTCTTCTCCTCGTCCTCGTCTCTTCATTATTTCCAACCTTTCCATCCTCAACGTCTTTTTGTCTGAATCCTGTCTTCAATATCCGTGTATCTCTCTTTAAAGGTATTGTTAACAAAGTAAGAGACATATCGTCAATCACACTTCGTTTTAGAAATCTAGAACTTACACTGGGCGGATTGTTAATCAACACGCGGATTTCTATTTCCCCAGTATTTTATCATGTTTCGCTGCAGGTTAATATTCAAAAAAAACATGTTCTAGAATTTATGCGAATTTATTTTTGGTCGAATAATTAATGTCTTTTAGTATTAGGCGATTATATCAATACAATGAAGTCGACTCTTGATTTAAATTTGGACTCAAACATCATGGACACACTCAATGTTAAACATCATGGACACACTCACTGTTAAACATCATGGACACACTCACTGTTAAACATCATGGACACACTCACTGTTAAACATCATGGACACACTCACTGTCAAACATCATGGACACACTCACTGTTAAACATCATGGACATACTCACTGTTAAACATCATGGACATACTCACTGTTAAACATCATGGACACACTCACTGTTAAACATCATGGACACACCCAAACATATATCAAGCTGTTAAACATCATGGACACACTCAAACATACAAGTCAAGAGAAGCTGTCAATTAAAAAAGCATTACTTGTAAACTTGTAATTCGAAATTTTTAATAAAACAGTCGTCTTTGTTGTATTGTTATAATCTCTTATATACCATTTTTTTATCGCAAGTCCGGTTTCTTTTCATGAATATGTTTTCATGAATGAAACAAAAGAATTTAGATATTTCAAACTTTAAATCAAATAATTTAAGTTTGAAATATCAACGGTTGCAAAGATATAGGGATTGGCAAATTTGAGTTTGTGGCAAAAACTTAATTCCTTTGTTCAGATATTGGAACTTTAGAGTACAGTATCCTTAGTATTGGACGCTTGTTCTCAATATGCAATGTGTGCACTTTTGAGGATAAACGTTTGATCCCCCAATTTAAGTTAACATTCATAAGTTCATACTATATAATCCGTAGGTCAACCTAGATTCAGATCAATTCTCAATTCCGAGATTCTGACCCAAACCTCCGACGTCAAATGCAAAGTTATCAAATATTTGTGCTTTCAATATTACCTGAGATATGTAGAATTTCTTAAAGATTTCGACAATTTGGTTTTATTTAATAAAATTGATATCAGAGATAAATTTTAATTATCTCCGGTAATATTTTGAAAATGCCAGGACTGGGAGAACTTTGTGGTCATGATTTCAATAATAAAATGTTACAAATACATTCAAAGATAAAAGACGACATTCAAAGATAAAAGACGACTTTCAAATCAAAGATTTAAAAAATGCCGTTCTGTATTAGTGGAGGCTCGTTCAATGCATAGCTAAGGCAAGGTCTGCACAGTGGAGGCTCGGTCTGCCTAGCAAATCTGGGAGGCTCATGTCTGCATATCAGAGGCTCATGGCGTTTGAAGGTTCCCCTCCCTCCCTCGCCCCCACCCCCTTTAACAATGAAGACAAATTTGAGTTTACACTCAACAGATTTTTATTTTAAATACCGAGTGTCCCACGAAACATGACAGTTGGATCAGAGTTATGAAAGTCGTCCTTCATATATTTTAGATATTTAAGGCTTATGCAATTTATTTATTTTATGAAACATTTTTTACTTTTAAACCAATTTTACTATAACATGATTCCCATTTAGTTTTTGTATTATTGTCTTTATCAAACAACTTAACATTAAGGAAGAAGACATTCTTAACTATTCACCGTCATATTCCGCGGGACACCCTGTAGCTTAAAACTTAAAACAAGTGGTTTAATTTTAATCAGATGCCTCCATATGACTATAGATCCAAATAATTTTATTATTTTTTCCAAAAAAATTTCTCACATCCTTCTGTTGTACAAAAAAAATTTAAGAAAGTTCTGGCCCTAAAAAATACAGTTTCAAATAAACCAAAGTATGAAATTTGGTAAATGGATTTATATTCTTTTTTTGCCGACAAATTTTCCTAGTTCACATAAAGCGCGTTTCACTGGAATATTTTTGGTAATTTTTCAATGCTCACGAGACTCGAATGATTAATTTGCTTAGATCAGGTTTGTCAATAAACTTCTATTAATAGATTATTTTCACACATTTCAGAACACATTTATGATTAAATGATACTGTGAGATAAAGGAGATGAAGTGAAAGCTCAAAATATGAAATAATTGTTCTTCTAAACGACCGACTGTTGTCAAGCCTCATATGGAGTAAACCCTAAAAAATTCAGCACTAACTTGGTATACGCAAAATTTTACTGGGGGTCGTGTGGAGCTAAATTCCTTATGCGCACCCGAAAGGCCTGTATACTTAGAACAATCATTTCTTTTTTATTCAGTTAATAAAGAAATACTTTTTATTATGCAAACAAAGCCTGTAAAACCTATTGGAAACAGATCAATTCTGACCGAGGTACGAACTAATGAAATGTTCACTCAAGACATATATTTTTAGAATAAATGCAGATTTCATTCCCTCGTATTCTACATCGTTATCAACCATTTTATTATTTTTCGAAATTTCCCCTAGGAACTGTCTCCAATGCCCTAAAATTGCTGATCTTGTTCAGTCCCACCGTAAGAGCCAAATCATTTTACTAAAGAACAAGTTAATAAATTTATGCACTAAAATCCTACCCTCCATAATCCTTACTTGTAATCAGAAATCTATGGTTTAAGTGAAAGAGTCCGTATTTATTTTAACAACTGGTCACGCATACATAAAAAATGGCGTCACGACTAAAATGATTCTATGATGAATCTTGCGTCACTACTGGTCAAAGAATTTTTTATTTCTTCCCTTTCCCCTTAGCAGCACCCTTCTTAGCCGGAGCCTTCTTGGTCGGAGGAGGAGGGATATTCTCCTGATCTTCCTCAAAGTCGTCTTCAATCTCTTCCTCAGTATCAGCCAGCTTATCTTCTACCTCGGTTACAGACACATCCTTAGTGATAAATATAAATAGAAGGAGATGTAAACAAAGTTTTTAATCATGGTTTCTAAAAGAATTCCTATGAGGATTTATATTGCAGTCAAATAGGACTTTTAACACTTCTAAAGATATTTATCATTTTCAACACTAGAAATTACAGCGGCAGAATTTCAAATTTTGTGGTGCGGACTGTGAGGGGGGGGGAGGCGTGTTGAGGCCCGGGGAGGGTGATTATTAAGAAGGAAATGCACGAATTTTTGGATAATAAGCAATTTTCCCAGACGCTGAAAACAATGAAGAATTTTGGAAACTATCTACCTCTTCTGATTCAGACATAACCGGGACGGGTTTCTTAACAGGAACCTTCTTTGCCATCTGCTTTACAGGGCTAGCTGGTCCATCTTCGGTTTCAGACACATCATCCTTAGTAATAAATATATATAGGAGATGTAAACAAAGTTTCAAGTTCAGTTTCCACCGGAAACCTGGTTAACATACGTATGAAACTATTTATTTTCAATTCCGAAATTCTGGAACAGTTTACTCCGTAATCCGTAAAATTCAAAACCAGTTCCCAATTCTGAAATGGTGGAAACTAAATCACAGCGTTACCGTGCTGTATGTAAAGAATAAATAATTATTCCTCACTGATGATTGATTGTTTACAATTGTAATTTCTAAAAGAATCGCTATAAAGATTTATATTGCAGTCAACTTGGACATTAAACACTTCTAATGTTATTTATCATTTTCAACACTAGAAATTACAGCGGCAGTATNGAGGCGTGTTGAGGCCCGGGGAGGGTGATTAATAAGAAGGATATGCAAGAATTTTTGGATAATCTGCAATTTTCCCAGACGCTGAAAAAAACAGAAGAATTTGAAACTATCTACCTCTTCTGATTCAGATATAACCGGAACGGGTTTCTTAACAGGATCCTTCTTTGCCATCTTAACAGGGCTAGCTGGTCCATCCTGTAACATAATTGAAGTAACAAAATAAACGTATTCGACCAGGAAAACAAAAAACGATGTTAGGTACTTTCCAAAAGGATTTTTCACAAGTTGCAACTTCCCATGGGTATTATCCCACGAGGAAACTTCCCAATTGTGCATTTTCCAGTCGTCAAAATGTCAAAAATTGTGTAAAAAGAATTTTGGTAACCTGTCCATCTTCAGATTCAGAGAGGGATTCCAAAGCTTGACGCTTCGCGTCGGCTTTCTTTACTGGCTCCTTAGCTGCAGCTTTCTTAGCTGGTTCCTTAACTGCAGCAGCTTTCTTAGCAGGTTCCTTCTTTGTAGTACCTTCCTTCTTGGCAACTTCCTTGGCTGGTTTCTTAACCGATTCCTTCTTAGCAGCTTCTTTCTTGGCTGCAGGCTCTTTCTTTGCCTTCTTCTCCTGATCTTTAGCCAACTTCACGACAGACGCGGTCTTCTTGAGTTTAGGCGCATCATCCTTGCCTTTCTTTTCAACTTCCTTGGCAAGTTTAGCAGCAGACGTGGTTTTCTTAAGTTTCGGAGCATCATCCTTAGTCTTCTTCTCAGTTGCAGCTTTGGTTTTTGCAGCAGTAGGTTTCGATTTCTTCTCCTGATCCTAGAAAATTCAAATAAATATTTACACGTGAAGAAAAAGAAATACTTCACATAAAAAGCTGAATAAATCATATCGTTCTAAAAACATGTGACGAGGGTAAAAGAAAGAGAGGATTGAAAAGAGAAACCACCGACAGTAATGGGAAATAGCTTTAGTTTTTCCACAAAAATCTCGGAACGTTTTGAAAATGTCAAAAGTTGTTCAATTCTAACCATATTTTTTTTTGTTGCAAGTTTGGACCCTCGGAAATAAGTATTTTGTATTTGCAAGAAAAACTCAACAAAATGAAAATTTTGAAGTGAGAGTCTATAAAGAAATCTACAAAGAAAAGCTAGCCAACATTTTTAGGTTATATTGAACATTCAGGGGGAGGGGGTTTTTAAATCCAGACGTGTTTTGACCACAATTAGTAAGATCCAGGGTGGCCAAATTTTTCCGAGAAAATCCGTACAAAAATCCGTACATTTTCAGAAGATATCAGTAATTTTCGGGAAAAAAATCCGTACAATCCGTACATTCTTTTAAAAATCCCTGCATTCCTCAGGGGTTGCACACTCAAAGAAAGTTATTATTAAACTAAAAATGAAAAGATTTACAGATAAACGGAAGAAACTTGAGAGGATGTTCTCAGATCTGATAAAGAGACAGATAGATGATAAACAGACACGACAGATAGACAGATAAATAGACAGAGAAACAGATACACATACAAATATAGATAAACAGACAGATAGGATATATAAATAGATAGATAAAAAGATAGATAAACTGACGTGCAGATAGATATACAGATGGATATACAAATAGACAGATACAGATAGATCAACATATTCTCAAGACACTTCTGGAACATATTCTCAAATGAACACTTCTGGGATCTCGAAAATTATGAATGAATTTCTATTGCCAATTGAAACATAACCCAATCTAATATTATTTAGAATGCAGAAAATAAGTTAAACTAACTTCATTATGACGGAGAATTTTTTTTTTGGAATTTTCATGAAAAAATTGCTGGACAATCCGTACAATTTTAAAGTTACAAAATAAAAAATCCGTACATTTTGGCCACCCTGAAGATCTGAATACCTTATCTCCGAGCTTGTAGCTGTTTGCTCCCTTTCCCGACTCCTTCGCCATCTTTAAATCTCCTGATTCTACTCCTTTCCTAAAATAAGAAATTATAAAAAGGTTTAACTCCCGAGTTAAGAGTGAATCCAACTCCAAGGAAAATTATCAACTTGTTATATTTATACCATCAATGAACTTTAAGATTTAAAAAAGCTCTTAAAGATCTATATGAACAGCCATACTTACAGATCTATATGAACAGCACTTACTTAAAGACTATATGAACAGCACTTGCTTAAAGATCTATATGAACAGCACTTACTTAAAGACCTATATGAACAGCACTTACTTAAAGATCTATATGAACAGCACTTACTTTAAGATCTATATGAACAGCACTTGCTTAAAGATCTATATGAACAGCACTTACTTAAATATCTATATGAATAGCACTTACTTAAGGGCACGTCCAAGAGGCAGTTTGGCTTTCTCCACATCAACTTTGTAGGTGTCCACAACATGCTTTAAGATCGCCTAGGAAACAAATAGGTCATTTAAAGTTTCGTCAAAGACGACATTTGTTATTATCAGTAAAATAATAAATCCGAATCAATGCATAGTGATACAGAACATGAGAAATAAGCAAAGCTATTTCAGCATTTATACTATGTAAGTTAATTATTGGTGTTTTACGGGGAATGGAGTTCAAATCTCAAATTTTAGAAATGTTCATGAATTCTGCGTGAGCGTTATTAAAAAAACGTCAAAAAAGCTTCATGCATATCAAAATATTGAAGTCGACCGCAAATATGAAGTTCAAACATCCGTTTCTGTGTGCGTTGCACGCGCGCGCGATAGAATTTCCATTTTTAACAATAAACGCATGTATATATATAAAAACATAAGTTTTTTGGGGTTAATAAATTCAATTATGAAGCTGACATGATTGGGTCTGTAGAGCGGGGGAAGGCAGGCGGCCATGAGCCAACACTATTTCCCTTTCTGTACCACCACATTCGACTCTTCCTGGGCGTTAAAACTACTTTTTTAAATGGTATATTTAGGGCCTTAAAGTGTGATTTTAAAAATCCAGCCACGTCACTCAAAAAAGCACAACTCAAACCATTTTTCAATTCTACTAAGATTAATATTTTGTGTGTTGAATTCTTAAAACTGTCTAACAATGAAATTTGACAAATTTGACAATATTGCATCTTGGAAATATCACATAGTCTAATGATTATTCAATTACTGACTCATTATACTAAACCCACCTTATAAAATCACTCATTAACCAACTTTGTGATATTTCAAGATGCAATACTCAGTCAAATTATATGTATAATTTCATTTTTTGGGCAATTTTTTTTTTTTGGAATCATTTTTACTATATATCTGGATTGCGATAAAAGTTTCAATTTTAGCAAATTTGCATTTTTTTTGCAGATTCTAAAAGTAGAGCACAAGAGCTTTCCAATGATGTATCATTTGTCATATAGAAACATGTCTGACGTCCTCCAATTTTAGAGACATGTCTGACCTCCAACTTCAGAAAGACATGTCTGACCTCCAATTTTAGAAAGACATGTCTGACGTCCTCCAATTTTAGAGAGACATGTCTGACGTCCTCCAATTTTAGGGAGACATGTCTGACCTCCAATTTAAGAGAAACATGTCTGACCTCCAATATTAGAGAGACATGTCTGACCTCCAATTTTAGAAAGCCATGTCTGACCTCTAATTTTAGAGAAACATGTCTGACGTCCTCCAATTTTAGAGAGACATGTCTGACATAATTAAATTGCAGCAATCTTTAGGAAGTACGCATTGCGGAATTAGGCTTTCGAGATAAGGGGGAAAATTCAGACTAAAGTTTAAGGCAGTGGCGTAAATAGGAGGGGGGGGATCGCCCCATTGGGGTTTTTTTCCCCCCCCCCCCAATTTAAAACTTAAAATTGAATATCTTTTAATTTTGCACGAAAATAATTTAAATGTGCAGATACTTCAGATATTTCAGATTGTTCTAAATGATTCTAAATTCTCAAGTAATAGTCATTACAATTAGATGTTTTTTTAATAGAAAAAAAGGTTATGGGCAATGAAAAATACATTTTCACTTCTAAATAACGTCATTTCCTTATTAGATTTGTTAAGGATCAAAACAATTGGTGAAAGCTGAAAGGTAGGAAATGAAACCTTTATTTGATGGAGTTTGTAAATCCCAGAAATGAGTGGAAAATGCAAATCAAACCCAATTAAAACAAATAATTTGATATACATCATATTTCTTAGGGGGGGGGGGGGGGGGTTTAAAAAATTTACCCCCCCCTTAAAAGAATCCTTATTAAGGCCCAGCTGTTTTAAGGTTTTCCTTAAATGTCGAGATATTACCCGTTATCGCTGAACTAGGTGCAACATCTAAGCTCCAAGTTCCTAATTTATTATGGGAGACGTGTTTAAATAACATCTCATCGTTACACATGTATCATATAATCTTTGATCAAAATGTGTAGAAACCAGTATATTCTAGAATTCGTAGAATAGGTGCAGGAACGCAAATTTGATAAGCGTCATTTGATAATTAGTATCTAGTGTTACGCAATATATACTAACGCAGAAACTTAAATTTACAAAACGCATTAATCAATTGCGATAAACCAGTAAGATCTTGATTAAATATCGATAGAAACGCGTATTTTGGTTATTCCCTAGAAAACGATTTTTGAAAGAAAATAACTGTTTTCTGTCAATTCTAGACACTGAAAAAAAATATTTATAAACTTCAAGAGCTAGCAAAGAAAGTGAACAATTAAACGAGCTGTATATTATGAGAACAAATCAAAACATTAGTCGAAAATGGACACAGTTGTGAATCGGGCATTACCAACTTTGTATGGAGGGTCACTTTAAATTACACGTACAGCTCGTTATTATTTAACGAAAAGATGGAGTCTGTCCTAGAGAACGATTTTTGGACCCCCTCCCCCGGCCCCCCCCCCTATAAATTTAGTACACTACCTTTTATTTTAAGTTATTTTGAATTATTTTAGGGTTAGGTTAAAACACTTTCTGGGCCGAGCGCTGCGGCTAGGACAGGCTAGGGGGCAGATCGCTGCGGCCACGGGTTAAGTTGAGTTAAGACACTATCTAAGCAGAGCGCAGCGGCTGGGACAGGCTAGGGGGCCGAGCGCTGCGGCCACATGTCTTACATTTAAGATCCATGTACAAAATAGATAGGAGGGGGGGGGGTCCAAAAAATGTTCTCTAGGAAATTACCAAAAGAGTGCTGCAATTTAGTGGCTGCAAAAAGATGTTGCAAGTAAAATTTCAAACTTATTGCTGAATTAAAGGAATTAAACGCAGTTTGTTCAAAATGTGGCGTCATTAAAGGGACTGTAAAGGAAAAATGAGAGGGGGTATAGGCTGAAACCTGAGAATCTCACGAGTTGATTGAAACCTTAAAGAGTACGCCACGCTCCGATCATAATTTGAATTTAATGATATTTATTTTTAGTAGATACAATTACAGATATTATTTATACGTCCGAATCACAGTGCAGTTTTATTGGCAGTGTCGCGTGTCTCCTTTTGTATCATGGGACCGATATACTGCACTGAGCCCGTTCTCTCCATAATGTTTAAACAGTGGTCGTGTTGTTCACGTACTTTGGGGGACGATAGTTTGGCCGCTAGATGTAACTCGTAAGAACTATATCAGATAAGAATTTTGCGTGAGACAACTAGCGGCCAAACTAACGTCCCCCAAAGTACGTGAACAACACGGCCACTGTTTAAACATTATTATGGAGAGAACGGGCTCTGCCATTGAAAGGCGTTATGGTCACATGACACGGGATATATCAGTTTAGGTATAATTTTAACCAAGTTTGTCAATTTCTCGAGACAGGAACATCAGATAGATACAGTAACTCAAGATATTCACTAGTAGGGGGTTTCATTTATTCTAATTAGTCCCATTACGTAGAGTTTGTACTCGGTAACACCTGTGGTTAGAGAAGGACAGAAGTTACCAAGTCCAGAAAACTGCTGCCCACTAACCTGCTTAGAAGTACCATTGCGAGATTTCTCAGTCTGGATCGCTTCCTTCGCCATCATCAGATAACTCAGCTTTTCGTTCTTTTCGCCAGACATACTAAACAGCAGATCAACATAAATAATTTTTAAGACAACTCCACAACCCCCTCACCAGACATGGTGTAGGACAGACAGGGGGGGGGGGGGGAATTTCCTAATACGAGATTTCAATATCAATTATAGTACATTAACTGAAAGATATAATTGACCATATGGCCGCAGCGCCCGGCCCCTTGCCTAGCCAAGTTCATTAAGTCGTAGCAAATCAAAGTTAGAAAATTTCTTTCAGCTTTAAATGGGTATACCTATTCATAAAAATCTTAAATTAAGAGTATATATATAGGAAAACTTACTTTAATACTTTAAGAGGCTGAGAATAAGTAACCCAGGACTTGGCCAACTGTGTAATGATTCAGAGAAGTAACAATTACACCGGAAAATGTGGTAGTGAGTAAATTGTGATGTTGATTTGTAAACCGGTTTGGATTTCAGTCAGAGTACAATGTGAACAGATGTACAGTTCAAAAATAGGGGCATTTTAGAAATTTAATTGAGAAGGGGCCGGGTTTCAGATTTGTGTCATTATTATTTTAAAAAAAGAACTTCTTAACCACTGACAGTATTTCAATTCGTCTAATGTTTATGAGTTTAGTATTCTTCAAATACACCTAACCCCCCCCCCCCCGCCTCCACTTCTAGGAAATTATCTTTTATAAAGACGCCGGCCACTCCCTCCGAAAATAGTTCTCCCCAAAATATTTTGTAAGGGGGGGGGGGGGAGTGCGCCCCCCTCCCTGAGGCCTGCAAAAAAATCTAAACATAGAAACAAAAAATTCTGAAAATAGAAACAAAAAATTCTGAAAATAGAAAGCGGGCTCATGGCAGTGAAGACTCAATATAATTTTGTTCTTCTAACTTGCATATGCATAGTATGATTCCTATATTCATTGTAACAAAATTGTAATAATGTTCCTACTATTGCCTATTGTTCCTAATTCATAGTACAGTATGAATGGTAATTTTTTGCCCTTATGTTTCCCTTTTTTTGTTCCTTTATGTGTTGATCATTTTTTATGCTTTACGAATTACGTACCCAGTTCTTTATTTTTTGTTCTTAATTCCTAGTTCTTTCATTTTTGTTCCTAACTTGTAACTTGCTTAATGTTCCTATGTTTGTTCTTAGTCTGAACACTGTGTTCCCAGACCCTTAATCCCTGTCCTAAATCCAATTGTATTTGTTCCAAATTCCTTAACAGTCTTATTATTGTTTCTTAGATTATGTATTTCATTTATTGTTCTTATGTTCTTAGTGCATGGATGAATCTCCTATATTTTTGGTTGTTCCTAGCTGGCTCAATAGTCAATGTTCCCATTTCATTGTTCTTTTGTTCCTCTTTTAATGTTCCTAATGTAGTTCTTCCAATTTTGTTCCTAACTTACCCAGCTCAACATTTGATTTTTGTATTTTTGCTTTTTCTTTTAAACCTATAATGGTCCTAGTTCTTTTTTTTTTTGGGGGGGGAGGGGGTATATCACCCCCGGAAAATTTGCGGGATGTCCCCCCCAGTTCTTTCTATTTTGACCTTGTTCCTAAAATCCTAAATTGCATAACTTACCTGGTTTTGTTCCTAATTTTAAGTATGACAATCTTAGCAAACTTTTTTATTATTTTATTTTAGCAAACTGAGAACATTCTTTGTCTGAGAATCTTTCCCCTCCCCCCTTGTACCCATCCTTGGTCCTGCATTTTGCTTTATAGTCTGTATACAGCTTGCTCTAGCTCCTTTAAAGTCGGCCCGGTACTTGAAATGAACCAGAGATAAAATCCACTATTACAGTTTACAGCAGTTTTTATTATATTTATAGTTTCTGAGGTTGTCAGTTTTCTCTAACCTGAAATGTATGTATTGGAAGAACAGGGGCGGATTCAGGGGGAACATGGGAACGTATGTTCCTCCCCTGGAGCTATTGTTCCCCCTGGAAAATTGGAGGAAAAAATCTAGAGATTTCGAATAGTTTAAAGGGACAGACCGGCTATGTAAGGTAGTCAAACTGAGTGTTATGGACAACATTTTTAGGATTCATTTGAGACATGCAAAACTATTCAAAGATCTGTAAATCCTGAGTTTGAGCGCAGTGTAGACGTTCAAAATCGTACCTTCAGGTGGATACTTTTTAAGAATTTTTTTTTTTGATTATTAAATAACGACGATAAAAAACTTAAATAACTAATTAGTTGTTTAGGAGCAGGTTGAGAAAATATAAATAAACTCTTAAATAATCTTATTCAATTATTATAGTTTCTATAAACTCTCTTTAATTACAAAGATTTTCTGAAATTTTTATTAAAAAGACGAAATTTGAAGAATTTTAAGAAATCTGCGAACAAATTCATAGAAAATAAGAATTTTAATTTAATGATGAAAAGGAAATAATTAATTCTAACTTAAATTTATTGACAAATTTCTTTTGAGAAATATATTCCTGAACATCTCATTAGTTTACCATAGAATTTTTACTATATTTTCCGTTGTCGTTATTTAATAATTTTAAAAAACGATTCTGAAAACGTACCCACCCAAATTCATGATTTTGAACGTCGACTTTGTGCTCAAACTCAGTATTTATGCATCGTGGAAACGTTTTGATGCCTAAAACGAATCCAAAAGAATTTGTCCACAACACTGCATACTCAGTTTAACTACCGAACATTGCCGGTCTGTCCCTTTAATTGATTGTAGTTTAATGGATTATTTAATAGATTTAATAGATTATTTCAATATATAATCTGTTTTATCGATACAATTGAAGTATTTTCAAGCTAAAAATGTGTTTGTCAAATATGCTTCTATCAAATCAAATGCCAGTATTAAAATTCTTACTATGTTTTGTTTTTTTATTCCAAGTAATGGTTACGTTGCTTATTTCAAATAATGAAATATCATTTTTTGTTTATTTTCTTGAAGAATTAAATGAAAATCTAAACTGTAATTTACAATAACATTACCTCCTCTACTATATAGTCTAAACTGTAATTTACAATAACATTACCTCCTCTACTATATAGTCTAAACTGTAATTTACAATAACATTACCTACTCTACTATAGTCTAAACTGTAATTTACAATAACATTACCTCCTCTACTATATAGTCTAAACTGTAATTTACAATAACATTACCTACTCTACTATATAGTCTAAAGTCTAAACTGTAATTTACAATAACATTACCTCCTCTACTATAGTCTAAACTGTAATTTTCAATAACTAGTGATTTGTTTTTAATGAAACATTTTTTACTTATAAAAATTTAGTTTGAGTTTCATATGTTAAGGGATTAGATTATTTCACCGCCTTTTCTCCAACATTGCCGATTCTTCCAAAAGATGGACGTTAAGTTACTTTACGTCCCTGGGAACAATAAGTAAAGTAGTTGTAAATAATTTTTTAAATTGATTTCAAGTGAGAATATGATATAAATACTAGTCCTAACTCCTAACTTGTATAATATGCTTGATCAAAGTGCTTTGTGCCAATTTTCGATTTCAATTTGTATGTGTTGCTTTGCGTTCATTATTGGTCAAAAAAAAACAAATTTCACACATCTTTTCGTCCATAAACTTTCCCGGGGTTATTCAAGTTCCTACAAAAACTGTGGGTCCAATCGGTTCCGCCGTTTTGGTGTTTATTGGGAACAAACAAATAGTCAGACACATTTAGATAAATGTAAGATGAGCACAAAATCTTTTTTTTATAAGCATAAATGTTCCCCTAGTTCACCCCGTAGGGAGAACATAAAAAGATTTCGGCGCCCTAGATATCGTTCCTCCTCCCCCCTAAACAATTCATGTCTCTGCCCCTGCAGAAGAAGTAACAGATGTATGTATTCTATGTATACGTTTTTTGTGAGAGATTAGATTCATCATAAATACAGCAAAATTTGATAAAAGATGGTCCACAATCATGATTATGATAGAGTCGAGTATAGGGGGGGGGGGGNATAACTCTCCTAATTCTCATAACTCTCCTAATTCTCCTAGTTCTCCTAGTTCTCGTAGTTCTCGTAGTTCTCAAAGTTCTCACAGCTCTCATAGTTATCCTAGTTAGTAGAATTATATTAATGTATTGTAAATACAAATATTTCAGTATTATCTGGCTGCAACTGTACTAATTTTACTTTATAATAATTATTATAGAGTACTTCACTTCTCTGGCTTTATAGATTATACATATTTGTATTTTTAGAAACATATTTTAATCTGAATCAGGGGCGTATAGGAGCTGTTTAGATAAGATTAAGGTCTAATAATTTGAGAAATTATCATAAAATGGACAAATTGTCAATTGATAAGAAAAGAATATATATATAAAAGTTTGATATATTAGGCCTAGTGGCCAGGGGGGCCTTGGGGGAGCATGCCTATGGGGGGCATGTGAAGGGTTCCACCCCCCCCCATAACGCTCCTAATCTGAATGATGATGGTATAAGACGTACATTTCTCCCACTAAGCTCTAAAGTACTCCTCAATGCTTGGGTGCACCCGGAGTCGGGTATCTTTCCATTCCAATGTCGTATACCTTATATTTTTCAAACTATGTATTTTGATAGACCAAATAATCTAATTTTATAATATCATAGGTTTACACCATCAGGTTACATAGATATACGGATTAGAAAATTTTAGTTTGTGGCTCATTTCCTTTGCATTTTCATAAACATACAGGGTGTCCCACGAAACATGACAGTATGCAAGAGGCCTTGAATGTCGTCTTGATTTTTGATTTAATTTGCTGCGTTTATTTGTCAACCTAATTTTAGAAGTAAATTTCTAGAGATAATAATCACAAAATTCCCCTAGTCCTGCCATTTCCAAAATGTGGTCTGCATTTTTTGTGCTTTCAATATTGCCCGAGATATGAACAATTTCGTTTAGATTTCGACAATTTTGCTTTTATTTAACAAAATTGAAATCTGAACCAAATTCTTTATATCTCCGGTAATATTGAAAGCACAAAAAACGCAGACCACTTTTTGGAAATGCCAGGGCTAGGAGAATTATGTGATAATTGTTTCAAGAATCATACATGTTAAAGTAGATAGAAGACTTAATGTCACAAATAAATTCTAATATCAAAGACGACTTTCAAGTCGTCTTGCTATTGTCATGTTTCGTGGGACACCCTGTATGTTAATCCACGAATGATGACATGCATGATTGAAATATATTACGTACTTTCCTCCCTCTTAACTCTAAAGTACTCCTAGTCCTATGCATGTAGAGCACCCGGAGTCAGGTTTAAAGTCATAGAGAATAGAATATATAGAGAGGAATTTACTGAAAAAAAGTGGAATATCATTATATAGCAAATCTAAAATTATTGTTAAAAGAAACCCAAATTATGAAATAGGCTGGTTTCATAACTGACCAATGACCATTTCACATAGACTCTATGCCTTCCACTT